ATATCTTTTACCATAATAGGACTAAAATCTCACCAACTAGATTGAGCCTACAGCCTGAGGTAGCCACAGCTTAAAACTCATATTTTCTTTCTTTTTTGTTGAGATCTGTTGTTCAGGCAACAGGATTTCTTCCTGCCTACTAGCATCCTGTTACCAAGGCAACAGGATTTCTTCCTGCCTACTAGCATCCTGTTACCAAGGCAACAGGATTTCTTCCTGCCTACTAGCATGCAGTTGGAAGGCTGATGTTACTGGTATCAGAGACGCCTGTGGTTCACAACTTCTTTAAGGAACTCATGTGTGTACAGTTATACATGAGATGTGTGCCTGACTCTAGTCTTTTCATGTAGATGTGACTGTGGATGTTTGACACCAGCCAGCATCAAACATGTGAGAAGAAAGACTCTTGTGTCTGCTCAGGATCTTTGGAAGAAGTTCTTGCATATTCTTGTTTGTGCCTTTTCTCCCTTCATGCCCTTCCTGTTATTATTGTTGTTTGTTATGTGCTGTTGAGTCACTTGCAACTCATAGCGGCCCCATGCACAATAGCTCTGAATCCCGTCCTAGCCTGAGCCAATCTCACTGCCTCTGAGAAAGCGTTTGCTCCTATTACTCCATTTATTGTATCGATCCATCTCATCCAGGATCTTCCCCTCCTGCACTCTTCTTCCACCCTTCCAAGCATGATTTCCTTCTCCAAGGAGACATGCCTACTGGCAACATGCCCGAAGTATGTGAGGCAGAACTTCAAAATCCTTGCCTCCAAGGAGCGACTTGACTTTACCCTCTCCAGGAAAGTGCTGTTTGTTTTTTTGGTGGTTCATGGTATGTTTAATGCTTTTCTCCAGCACCACAACTCAAAGGTATCAGTTCTTCTCTAGACTGACGTCATTGCCCTTTAGTACTCTAGAGAGGTCCCTGACAGCAGATTTCTCCAATGCAATTTGTCTTTTGACTTCCTGGCTCCTGGTGCCAAGAGTATTGATTGTGGACCTGAGCAAGGTAAAATTGTTTACAATGTCAATCACTTCTCTCTAGATCATGGCTTTGCCAATTGGCCCACTGTTAATCTTACTAAAATATAATGAATACTGCTTGATAACATCCTACAAGAATTGATACCTACCTATTTAACAATATCACAATACAAATAATATACTATATAATATGCAATGTTAGTAGCTGTTGTGTGCCATTGATTCAGAACTGACCCATAGCTGAGCCTCCAGAAAGTTTTCAGAGGCATTAAATCACATGGAAGGAGATTGCCCATCCTTTCCTTGTTGAATAGCTGGTGGATTCAAACTGTGTGCCTTTGGGATTGCAACGAAGCTTCTTACCACAAGACCACAAGAGCTCCCTAGTACTGGCATTATTTTTTCTCAGTGGCAGTTGTAAATTCTGCTGGCGTATGGCTTCTTTATTCTAGTTGTTACTGGGGTGGGAATAGAAAGCCAGGGGGCGTGCTACCACTAACCTACAGTAGGGTCAACTCCAACAAATTACAGATGAAAGAAAAACTCAAACTCATTCCCATGGAGTTGGAAACTACTCAGAGCTGATCCTCCAGTGGGTTTTCAGAGGCAGTAAATGGCATAGGAAGAGATTGCCTGTCTTTCTCCAGTAGAGCTGCTGCTGGTGGTTTTGAACTTGCAAAGAGGTGTCAGCTTTCAGTGAGCAACACAACTCCCTCCCTACCCACTAGACCATAAATGCTGCCCTTAGTAATTGTGAGAAGGCACTCAACCACATGCAGTAATGTCATTTATTCGTATAGATAATGAGCACGGTTATAAATAATGTCGCTGCCTTCAGGAGGCTTTCTGTGGTAAAATGCTAGTTCTCTTTGATGGGATAGTAGTGTTTTCATTGTTGTTGTTATCTGCTGTTGTTGTTACGTGCCGTCGAGTCGCTTGCGACTCATAGTGACCCTATGTACAACAGCCCTAAACTCTGCTCTGTCCTGTGCCAGTAGCACCGTCTCTAATACACCCATCCCGATTACCCCAGTCACTGAATCAACCCACCTCATAGAGGGTCTTCCCCTCCTGCACCTGCCCTCCACCCTCCCAAGCATGATGTCCTTCTCCAAGGATCTGTCCCTCCTTACAACATGTCCAAAGTATGTCAGAAGAGCCCCAGAATCCTTGCCTCCAAGGAGCAGCCTGTTTTAACCCTCTCCAGGATGAATCTGTTTGTTTTCTTAGCAGTCCATGGCACCCTCAATACTCTTCTCCAACAGCAAAGCTCAAAGGCATCAATTCTCCTCCTATCCTCCCTAATCATTGTCCAACTCTCTGATGCATAACAAGTGATTGCAAAGATCATGGCCTGTATCAGACGCACCTTCGTCTCCAGAGAGATACCATTGCTCCTTAGGACTTTGGAGAGGTCCCTAACATTAAAAGGCACTATTTCCGTATTGTGAGCCTGACCTCTTACTTTATAAGGTTAAATATGTCTTCATTCTATCAATATCAAATAATATTGGCTAACTTTTCACAATTGAATTACATTATATGATACCCTTCCAGTACATGTGGAAGTATTTTTTCATTCCAAAATACAGTTAACTCTAGTGGCATCGTGGTAAGAAGCTGTGCTGTAACCCCAAAGGCACGTGGTTTGAAGCCACTAGCTGCTCTGCAGGAGAAGGATGGGCAAAATGCTATTCACTGATCACTAGAGGGTCAGCTATGGGTCGGTTCCGACTCAGTGACACATAAGAACAATGATCCAGTTAAAGAAATTCTCTTAGAAGGAAACACAAAAAGTTTCACTTCCTTCATCACCAGGACTCTTTCTAACAAAAGAAATATCAAAATAATTCACTCAGTGCTTGAATTAATTGAAAGAAAGGTCAGTTTTGAAAAATGTTAAAGCTAATTACATCCCATCTCTACCTTGACTGTTAGTGGCTTGGGCAGGAGATTGTAGGCTAATACTCATTTGTATCACTTCAGTGTTTCTCCGGCTTATGAATTCTGGATGAGGTCACAGCAGATCTGAGGAAATTGTAACCTTTCGAATCCTTTCAACCTCCTGTGTCTTTGAAATTCTCTTTCCAGCAGTCAGAAGTGTTATTGACCAGTGGTCATTTGAAAACCTTCAGAGCACAGAGGTTTCAGTATGTGAACTCATTTTACCGTAAAAATATTTCAAAATTCCTTCCTTTGTGTTGAACCATTTCATTTTATTGCTTTGTTTATTCAGTCATCTTCTGCAGTCATGAAAGTCTGTGGGACATACGTATTCAATGTGCTTTAATCTAAGCAGTGCATAGTTTAATTATTTTGCATATCTGTGGGCCAAAAACTGTGTAGTTAAAAGTTGTCATTTGTCATCACAGGGAGTCTGTTTTGAAACTCCAGGTGACTATATTTTCTTGTGCTTAGAGATACAGTTTCCAGAGAACATAAGAACATTTCTGCTGTTCCTGTGTGATATTAAAGGTTCCAAGACTGTAGGGACATTTAACCCTTCATCTTGGGTACCTGAGACAGTGCTTACAAGCAACAGGGACCAAAATAGACATTTGTTGACTGAATGAATGTGACGATTATTTTTAAGTGCTCTCTGAGGTTTATTAAAGAGTGCTGGAGAAGAGTATTGAATGTACCATGGACTGCCAAGAAAACAAACAGATCCATCCTGGAGAGGGTTAAACCAGGCTACTCCTTGGAGGCAAGGATTCTGGGGCTTCGTCTGAAATACTTTGGACATGATGTAAGGAGAGACAGGTCCTTGGAGAGGGACATCATGCTTGGGAGTTTGGAGGGACAGCGCAGGAGGAGAAGACCCTCTATGAGGTGGATTGATTCAGTGACTGGGGTAATCAGGATGGGTGTGTCAGAGGCAATGCGATTGGCACAGCATAGAGCATGGTTTAGGGCTGTTGTACATAGGGTCGCTATGAGTCGCAAATGACTCAACGGCACATAACAACAACAACAATTTACAATGATAAGGTTTTGTCAAGTTGACAGCAACATGGCATTTTCAAGGCGATCTGTTTTATATACTCATCAAATTTGTGACTATCGAGTCAGAGATCAATCATAGTTCACCCTCTAGTGTGTTTTTAGAGGCTATAGATTACATAGGAGGCAATTGTCCACCTTCTTCCTGCAAAGCAGCTTGTGGATTCGAACCACTCACCCTTGGATTAGCAGTGCAGCTCCCTATCTACTAGACTAGCAGAGTGCACTCTATTTTATGTAAATAAACACAGTTAGTACATATGGTATACAGTATTCTTCTTACACAAAAATATTTGAGAGATTGAATTCTTCAGTATAGTGTACAATTTTCCTAATAGCTTGCCAAGAACACTCGTGAATTTAAGCTCCGAGATGTGAGCTGATACCAGTGTGGAATATTGATTGTCCTTCTGGGATTTCAAGGTCTGTTATAAAACTTAAGCCAACCTGAGAAATGCCACAGCTAACTAAACCAGCCCAGGGAAGAAGCTCTGTCTTTTCAAAGACACTCCTGCATACATGGATGGTGGCTTTTGTTCCTGGGTACAGTCAAGTTTCTCCCTCTAAGAAATCCGTGGGATCAACGCCCAGATGAGAAGACTTGCTCCTCCTAAACCCTGTGCTCAGAGTGTCCAGAGTCCAGGTTTTAGTCTTAGCCAACATCCCCTGGTTTGACATGGATTAGTATAGAAATGTTTCCCCCATGGCTATGTGCCACCCATCCAACATACATGTGAATATTGAAGCTTGGTGGAGCTCCCCGATTAAAACAAGCTTGGAAGCAGGAGTGGCATCCACTTCTGAAATAGCTTGCCTCCAGGAAACTCTATGAACGTGGAGAAAGGATGAAAGTTATACAAGTGTCCAGGTCTTTCCTTCCATAGGTTCCCCATGAGTCATCAAGTCATTATTTTGAGAATTTGGAGTGTGTTCTTAGAATTGTGGAAGGTTGGCCCTGGGTACATTTTTTTTGCATCAAAGTTTATCCAGCCCACTAATGGCCTCTAATTTTGTTTTCAGGGATTTCCCGGGCGTCCTGGGATCCAAGCCGAGACCAGGTAACAGCCTTAGCAACAATAAGATCGTGCCTACATTGAAGATGCTCACTGCAGTTTAAGTTACAGTTTCAAATCTTTTCCTTTTTTTTTTTTTTTGTTTCTTCAGCTTTGCTGCCTTTTGACCTGCTTCTGAAAGTGCCACCCCTCATGCTCAGGGCCCATGTTAAGGACCTAGAGGCCAAGTTAGTGACAGGATGGCAGTCCCATAGCCTCCCTGCTGTGCTGCTCCACAGTTTCAAAGCTCATGGTAGTACTTATCAGATCCACTTCAGACACGCAATGGGTGAACACAGAATTACCATTGTGCCTGAAATGTCTACGTGAGGCTTGGGAGGTAAATTTAACACCATCAAGCAGGATAATGCGGCTGAATTTGTCCACCACTGTAAGCTTGGCAATTTGGTGGTTTCACAATGCTCTGTGTTCACTTATTTGATTTAAATCTTATAGAGTTGTTTTGCTTGAAATTTGCAATTCTACTCTAGTGGGAATGTCAACCAATTGAGCTATTGATGCCTAAAGTGCATATTTACTAACAAAAATTAATAACTGTGTTATGCATAGATAACTCTTACCTCTAAAGTTCTATGTGATACAAGAGTGAAGCTTATCTCCTTTACTCTGTGACAGATAATATTATTATTTATTGCCAATTGTATTTTATGAAAATCATCTCATTGTTTTTCTAATAATTTAAAAAACTATAGCTTCTTAAAACACACACTTTTATTGTAATGGCTTGGGAAGAAGAAAATCTGTTTCCAAGTTTTATTAAGAGGCCAATTGAAAAGTAATAGTACAATTAGTATATAACCATAAACATTTCAAAAACCTACTCAGTGGTTGTGCTTTTAATATATATATGTGAATATTTATTTAGTATATATACGAATACCTTTAAGCATAAAGTTCTTTTTTTCTACTTTATTTAATTTGAAATTATCATTTAATGCTATTTTCATTTTGGCTTTCTTAAATTCTTTTGTGGATTTAACAAGTATAATGAGCATAAGTAATATGAATTAAGTACTATAATCCTCATCCATGTCCCCACATTTATTGAATTTGCTTTGCAAGTGTTAACAGTTTGGGGCCAATTGCACCTTGAGCAATTAAATTTAAAAAGAAAAAAAAAGGTAAGTTTTTTTTTAAAAAAAAGATAATTTTGTTATAATGTTACCTAAAACTTAACCACATTCTATTCTTCTTGTTTTGGCAAAAGACCAATTCAAAGTATAAATTTATAAAGTTAAAAGGATTTTTTTTTAACATCAGCACACACACACACACACACACACACGGAGCTCTGGTGGCTTCGTGGTAAGGAGTTGCACTGTCAGATCGAAGGACCTGGTTCAAATCCTCCGGCTGCTCAGCTGGAGGAAGATGGGAAATACCTTCCTGTCTAGTTTACAGCCTCCGAAACCTGATGGAGGCTCAAGTATGACTTAGTTCTGACTCCATATAACAAGAACATAACAAGGACGATGTATTTCTATAAACCAATTCACAGCTCTGTTGTAATTCATTCAGAATAGATTTTCTTTTTTCTAAAAGGACATACTGAGTGAGTTCACTCACAACCTGTCTTTATGTCAGTGAAATGGGTCACATCTCAGGACCTTTAATTAACCGAGTGACTCTTCAGAACACTTTACATGTGATGTTTCCCTTAAATCAACCATTTCTCATGCCATCTCATTTCAAGAATTTGCTGATTCATATGTGGTTTCAAAAACTATTCTTTCCCAGTGTTGTTAGTGAGTGGCCAAGTCTGCCCGTGACAGGAGTAATGAGATGGTACAGGTGATGTGAGGGAGATCTGGTGGCGCGGTCTGTAGAGAGATGGACTCCTAAACCCATAGCTGGTACCTCTCTAGTGGTTCAAATCCACCAGCTGCTCCTCGGAGAAACACGGGCATTCTCCTCCTTTGTGCTGTAGAGCCTCGGAACACCTGGTGGAGGGTCAGCTACAAGTCAGTTGTGGAATACATTAACATGTGATAAGGGGGGGTTTATTTATTATTATTAATTTTAATGACAATTTACAGAGACTTTGGATTTTCATTCATCCATTGTTGCACTTTTCGCCCTGCCCCGCCCCAGCCCCATACACTCTTCTATTTGAAAAGAAGAAAATATTCTTTCATTGTTTTACAAACCCTCCCCCCAGGTCCACCCCACTATGCAGCCATCGCTCTGGACTTCTGTCATGACAAAAATACCTAATCACATATCCCTTTTAAACAGTTTTCTCCCTCATCTGTTTCAATGAAGTATACATTATTGAACCCATCTTTCTCAGACTCGCCCCAGTCCTGAGGTCAGTCCTGTTTTACAACAGTGGGACCATGCAGTATTTGTCCTTTTGTGACTGAGATACTTCACTCAGCATACTGTCCTCCAGAGTCACCCATTTTGAATAATATTTCATGAGTTCCTTATTTTTCAATGCAGCATGGTATTCTATTGTATGAATATATCACAGCTTCTCTAGACATTCATTTGTTGATGGGCACTTAGTTTGTTTCCAACTCCTTGCTATTGTGAACAAAGCGGTGATAAACATGAGTGTGCCATGATATGTTTTGTTATCCTCCATGGGTTATTCTACTTTTTCCTTTTTTATGTTTATTTTTTGTTATTTTAGTGAAAGTTTACAAAGAGATTAGTTTTCATTTTGAGTAAAAAAAATTGGATATTTTATTTTCCCCATCTTATTATAAAGAATTGGCAGCATCATGATAGATGGTGAAGAGATAGAGATTGTTGCCAGCTTTAGTCTGCGTGGATCCACGATCAACACTCTTGGGACCAGCAGCCAGGAAATGAAAAGATGAATTGCACTGGGAAAGTCAGCTGTGAGAGACTTCTCCAAAGTACTGAAGAGAAACGGTGTCAGTCTGGAGACTAAGGTCTGCCTTATCCAGGCTATAGTTTTTGCAATTACTTGTTATGCATCAGAAAGCTGGACAATGAGTAGGGATGATAGAAGGAGAATTGATGCCTTTGAGCTGTGGTGTTGGAGAAGAGTATTGAATATACCATGGACTGCTAAGAGAACAAACTGGATCTTCCTAGAGAGGTTGAAACCAGGCTGCTCCTAGGAGGCAAGGAATCTGAAGCTTCGGCTGACATACTTTCGACATTTTGCAAAAAGGTACAAGTCCTTGGAGAAGCATGTCATGCTTGGGAGGGTCGAGGAACAGAGCAAGAGAGGAAGACCTTTGATGAGATGAATTGATTCAGTGACTGGGGTAATGGGGATAGGTCTGTCAGAGACAATAAGATTGGCACAGGATAGAGCAGGGTTTAGCGCTGTTGTACGTAGCATCTCTGTGAATCGAGTCGTGGGTGATTCGATGGCACATAACAACAACAACATTATAAAGAAGCTTTCTGGCACATCATAAAAGTCTTGTTTTTAAAGTATATAAAGTTGCTCTATTTACTACATTATCAGGTCACAAGCAAATAGCACTGTCCCCATTCACTTGAGGTCACCTTCTCTGCAAAGCCTAATTTTGTTTCTTTCAAGCCTAACTAAGTATAAAAGGATGACCTCAGCCCAGCTCTCCAACAGCAGGGGCCAACATTGTCTCTTGATCATATGTTGTTGCATGAAAATTTTCTGTCAACCTGTTCTTTTTTTGGTACAGTGACTCTGCGTACTCCTTCCATCTTCTTTTAATGATTTCTGGATCATTCAGTATTCTGCCCATAGCATTCCTTAAGTATTGCAACTCAAGGCTTGAATTTGTCCTTCATTTCCTTCAGCTTAAGAAATGCTGGACTAGGTCAGCACTTTTGATTTTCTGACTCCAGCTCTTTGCACATTTTATTATAATTCTTTGCTTTGTATTCCAGAGCTACCCTTTGAAATCTTCTGTTCAGCTCCTTAACTTTTTGCTCTCTTCCCTTTCCTTCTCAGTACTCTAGTGCAACATTCAGAGTCTCTTCTGACACCCATTTTGATCTTTTCTTCCTCCTCTGTCTTTGCCCTTTTGTATCTTTCATGGATAACATCCTTGACATCCTCCCACAGCTCATTTGGTGTTCATTCATTAGTATTCAAGGCCTGTTCCTGAGATGATTTTTAAGTTCAAGTGGGATTGACTCAAGGTCAAATTTTGGTTCTTGTGGGTTTGATTTAATTTTCTTTAGCTTTAGTTTGAACTTGCATGTTGGTAGTTGATGGTCTGTTCCACACCTTTTCAATCTGTATGCAGAACAGATCATCTGGAAGGTAGGACTTTATGAGGGTAAGTATGGCATGAGGATTGGAGGAAGACAGCAATCCGTGTTATGCAGATGACATACCCTTACTTGCTGAGACTGAGGAGGACCTGAAGTGCTTGCTGCACAAGGTCAGCAACTGTAGTGTTCCATATGGATTGAAGCTCAACATCAAGAATACAGTTTCTCACCACTGGGCAATGAGCAGCACCACGTTAGATGGAGATGGGATTGAGCTTGTTAACAATTTCAGCTGGCTTGGCTCCACAATCTACACTGTTGGCACCAGCAGTCCAGAAATCAAATGATGAATTGCATTGGGGAAGTCTGCTGTCTGAAACCTCTCCAAAGTGCTAAAGAGCAATGCTATCAGTCCAGAGACCAAGATACGCCTAATCCAGTCTATGGTCTTCACAATTACTTCTATGCATCAGAGAGCTGGACAGTGATTAATGATGATTGAAGAAGAATGGATGCCTTTGAGTTGTGGTGCTAAGAAGAGTATTGATCAGACCATGAACCACCAAGAGAACAAACAGGTCTGTCTTGGCAACCAGGTTTAACTTTGGAGGCATGGATTTTGAAGTTCCATCTCACATACTTTGGGCATGTGGCCAGGAAGGACCGGTCCTTGGAAGACATCATGCTTGGAAGGGTGGAGGGACGGCGCAGGAGAGAAAGATGCTGGACAAGATGGATTGATAGGGTAACTGGTGTAATGGGGGTAGGTGTGTTGGAGTCAGTGAGACTGGCTTAGGACAGGCCAGGCTTCAGAGAGACGGCACATAGCGTTGTTGTGAGTTCACAGACAACTCAAAGGCACATAGCAACAACAACAATAACAGCAACAACAACAACAACATACTAGTGTGGTTTTTTTTTTATATGTTTAACATTAGATTTTATTTCCTTAGGTGAAGAGGAACATCTTGAAAATGAACAGCATAATCTGTAGCTACAGCCTTATGTTACTACCTGTTCTTAGTAACTTGGTAAGGAGGAGAGAATTTT